AAGCTGTATCACACTGAGTCTAACAGCTCAACATTCAGAGTTCAGAGAAGAGGCTGGGTGCTGTGGCCCATACCTGTAATCCCAATATTTTGGGAGACTAAGGTAGGAGGACCTCTTTTTTTTTTTTTGACCTCCTGGGCTCAAGCAATTCTCCCACCTCAGCCCCACAAGTAGCTGGGACTACAGACATGCATCGCCATGCCTGGCTACTTTGTAAATTTTTCTTTGGAGAGATGAGGTATCCCTATGTTGCACAGGCTGGTCTCGAACTCCTAACTCAAGTGATCTTCCTACCTTGGCCTCCCAAAGTATTGGGACTATAGATGTGAGCCACTGTGCCCAAACCCTTTCCTTTTTCTTTTCTATTTTGTTAATAAAGCATGTCTCTGTTGATCACTACATGTATATGTGGAGGGAAGGACAATATGATTTTAAGAAATGAAATATTTAGCATCTTGGCCCCAAGATTCTACAATCCTTTCATATAATTTTTTTTTTTGAGATAGGGTCTTGCTCAAGCTATCCTTCCACTGCAGCCTCAGCCTCCAGGGTTCGAGCTGTCCTCCCACCTCAGCCTCCTGAGTAACTGGGACCACATTTTTATATTTGTAGAGATAGAGTCTTGCAATGTTGCCCAGGCTAGTCTGAATTTCTGGACTTGAGCAGTCTTCCCTCCTCGACCTTCCAAAATGTTGGGATTACAGGTGTTAGCCACTGCACCCAGCAAGAAAGATCTCTTGAATCTAGGAGTTTGAGACTAGCCTGGGCAACACAGTGAGACCCCACCTCTGCAAAAATTACAAAATTTAGCAGGGTATGGTGGTGTGCGCCTGTAGTCCCAGCTGCTCGGGAGGCTACAGTGGGAGGATTTCTTAAGCCCAGGAGTCTAAGGCTGCAGTGAGTTATGCTTTTACCACTGTACTCCAACCTGGGTGACAGAGCAAGACCCTGTCTCAAAAAAACAAAAATAGAATTTAGAGAAAAGAGATATCCAGTTAAGGCGAGTATGTTTAAACAGTAGTCATGCAGGCTCTGGGCCTGAATCTGGTCTTTGAGTATGACTGTGGGTGCAGCCCTGGGGTGGGCAGACGGCAGCTGCTAGAACCCAGGGAGGGGGCAGGGTGGGCCAGAGAGAGATTCTAGTGATGGCTGCAGAGGAAGTGCCTGTGAGGAGTGAGTAGTGAGTAGAAATACGGCCGGAGAGGCCTGGACTAGAAAAGCACAGAAAACCCAGACAGGGGAAGTCAGGCCAAGGCGCCAGGGAGGTGCCAGAGACACTTCTGCCCAAACCTCCGCGTGCGCACGCCATCCTGCAGTTTTACTTCTTGTAGAAATGTGAGAAAGGGAACGGGATGCTCTCCACCGTTTTAGATCTGTTGCCTAAAAAGATCACTGGATCTGGTCACCAGTTTTCCAAAATGTAGCACAATGGTGCATCCGCCAATGCCCGGAACCTGCCGGGCCACTTGGAAGCCTGTCTTGCAACAACGTACGGCCATCCCACGACCTGCCCACGGGGCACAGCCAGGAAAGCAGCCTTGTGAGCGGGCTTGAGTCTCTGCGGTCTCACTGTGTCCAGATCTGATAATAGCTAATTCCACCAAATATTAGAGGGGGCTCACATTTAATTAAGGAGTGGCCATTTGTATGCTCCAGACTGGAGGTCCCCACTGCCCTGAAGTCAAAAGAAGGGTCCTTCAGGGAATATGCCAATCTTTTCTTATTTCTCTGCTGAGCTCCTGCCCTCTTTGAATGCAATTATGGGAACAAATAAAATGGCTTAACTCAACTCCCCTGTGGGACAGTCAGCTCTCTGCTGATAAAACCAGCTGTGTGGGCAATCATTAAATGAGAGATCTAATATTTAACTAAATTTAATAGTCTGTTGCTTTGGTGCTTTCCAGCAAAGGGTGGGATTTCAACAGAGGGGAACGAGCCGTGCACAGGAGCCCGTGTAGTCCGTGAGCAATTAGAACGCTGTGCGTTCGTTCCCACATGAAGCCAGCTCTCTCAGATCCAGGAACTGGGAACGGGGTGTTTGGTGACCAGCCTGTGTTCCCGTTAGTTCCAGACAGGCTTAACTCAGTAGGCAGCAGAACAACACTGCACCCTGAGTTTAACTCTCCTTCACGACCAGCATTTGAGATCGCACAGCGGTGCCTGAAACGTCAAATTCACATGCGTGTATGTGGAGACAAGAGCACATTTTAACCAACCAGGAGAGGCTCTGTCCCCATTTTCTCTCATTTTGAGATTTAGTCATCCAGACATGCGCCTACCACCAGCAGACCCCGAGCCGAAGTCCTTTCTGGGACCCAGAAGCAGAAGCTGACTGATAGCAAGAAGCCCATCTCTGTTCTTGCTGGTGGGTCTTTCTGCCTTTGCTCCTGGTCTTCATGGGTTGTCACTTCTGTCATCTGACCGGCATTTGCACACCCCAAGCCCCTCACCCGTTATCCACGCGGGTTGATCGTGTTGGCAGGCAGAGCGGCAAAGATCACAGGTTCTCCAAGGGTTACAGCTGAGGCCTCGAGACGACCTCGTAAGATCCACCCACTATTCCCCTAGAATAAGCTGGAGTTTACGGAGGATGGATGACGCGCTTTATGGTCCCAGAGTCGACTGAATTAACTTAGGCACATCCTTAGTCTTCTAAGCACCAGAATCTTTTCTATCCATTTAATGCCTTTTGCTTTGGGTTCTCGGTCTGTGCTGTGTGGGAAATACTGGTCCACGGTCTGGCCTTGGTTTCTCCAACTCTTGCCATTCAAAAGGTCTGAGCCCTGGGGCCCTTTGTGGCTTCCCAAGACACCAAGGAGGACCTCTCAGCCCTGTTTGGTTTCCTGGACATTTTCTGAGGCTACAGGGGAACGAGGAGAAAGACTTGGGTGGAAACCCAGACTCTACCATCTAAACAAAGATGCTTAATTTCCACGGTATGCATTGAATTTCCACAAACCCATCTGCCCAGAGCACTGAAAGCTAGTGTATGTTGTCCCTGGGATGGGACTGAACACTGATACCTTGGTGGAGGGTAGGGAGACGGATTTGCTGCCAGGAAAATGACCAAAACGTTTTCATTTGGTGTTAAGTGTATCTGGAGAGCTTGCTGGGTGCCTGAGATAGGGTGGTCAGGCCTCTCTTGGAGGAGGTGACGCTTGCATTGATGGAAGAGAAGGAGCTAGCAAGGAAGGTTTAAACACAGGACAGCACGCGCAAAGGCCCTGGGGCAGGACAGCAAGGAGTTTAGGGAATGCTGTTCTCTTCACTACGTGGCAGCACTCCCTGCTAGTAGTCTTCTTTCCTACAAAAAATGTGAATAGAACACAAATGATACACAGTCACTGTCTCATGAACCAAGTCCTCTTGCCTGATTGTGTGCCTGGAGCTTTGCATTAAAGGGCTCAGGGCATTTGGACTCAGCACCAATGAGTGCCACCTCTGACCCATTAGGAACATGGGCTGGGGCCGTGAGGCTGGCACAGGGGCATGCAGGCCCCTTGGGGTGGAGTGCGCCTCCCCTAACTCGCGTGCATGACTACGTGGGAGCGCGCGCCACCTCTCAGGCCAAGTCTCTGGGTCTCAGAGTTAAAGTCAAGGCTACCACCCTAGACATCCCTTCCAGACGCAGCTGTGTTTCCTGCTGTCTGCAGGGAAAACGTTTCGTGCATGCTACGTGGTGTTCAGAATCTTTCCCAGTGGTGGTCAAACACCAGGTTTGTTAAAACTCTACCTGCTTGAAAACAACTTTCTCCCCTTATTTTTCATCGAAGCTAAATATTCAAATATGGGTCCAGCAACTTGGAAGTCATTTTCATTTTCTTTCCTCGTCACAGGCACTGGGAGCCTCCATTTCCCTCTGTCCCTGTACAAAAGTTTGCCAGGCAGAGTTCTTGAAAAAAAGCCACAGCCACACATTCTCCACACAAAGCCACGTGGCCAGAGTCTCCTGGCGATGAGCAGTCTTTTGACCTCCAGCCGCCCTGGAGAGGCACCCACCTGCAGAGCAGCGTTTTTTTTTTTTTTAAGAGAGTTATATGGGAGGATGGTTGGACGTCCATGATAGCATTGCTTGTGATCATTTACTCTTTAAAACAAATGCACAAATTATGGCCGATTCAAAGTAAATTGATGAGCCAAAGGCAAAGTTCCATGCAGAAAACTTCCCCCTCGCAGTGAACCACAAGTTACCCCCTTGTGTCGGCTTTGTGTGAGAAAGAAGGAGGGAAGTTGGGTGGTTTCTGTGGCACGTCAGAGGGTGAAACGAAGTAGAATGGCCATTTCGGTAGATGAACAGAGTGGGCTCCTCGGGGGCCTTCTCCGCATCGGAAGAAAGGGGTAACGAGGGCGTGTGTGCGCTGTCACAGCCTGACGTGGAAAGGCCAGTGCATCCACAGCGGTGCAGAGCTGACCTCCGTCTCCAGGAGGGAGGACGGCCACTCCCACTGAGACCGAGGTGAGCGTCACACGACTCCACTCTCCACAAATACAGTCATCCCAGTTAAGGCCTCCGGAGCCCAGATAATCTGACGTTTTAGGAAAGAGATCGAAATCTATTTTTCTCTGGGAACATATAATGAAGATCATACCCTAATTTCTTCCCTCCGTTCCTTTTCTGGCCACACTATTTGAAAATCCATTCGTCCTAACAGATGTGTAATGTAGGTTTCTCCTAAAACCCACAGTCATGGGAGGAATTGTACCAAAACCTGTGCGTGTGACTCCACAGAGAACAAAATCTGTACTGGAGGAAAGAAATAGCCTAAGATGGTGGGGAGAGTCTTGAATCTGCCCAGATTCCTGATTTGAGACTAGGGTTTTGAGCGATAACTTGAGTGTGTGTTTTAATGCCCAGTTTCTTGATCTGTACACTAGAAATAATAACAGTGCCTCCAAGGCTGATTAAAGCAGCGGTCTATGCACACGAAAACCCACGGCCCACAGAGGTCCTCGGAGAGTGGCCACTGCATCTCAGTGCATCCCCGTTTCCTCTCTTTCAGAAATGTTTGACCTAGAGACAAATGAACATGTCAAGAAGGCCATACATGACCGACAGATGCCTAAAGTGGAATACCGGACCATCGAGATTGATGATTATAGTGAGTACCACATTTTCCCCCTTAAAAGGAAAAAACATGGGCTGTGACACAGCACCCTCATCAGCAGCAGGTGCTGTGCACCGAAGTCTCCCGAGCACGGGGGCATCTCCTTGCCCCACAGCTCCTCTGGCATGGAGCATCCTGCATTCAGAACCAAGATGCTCACTCTGGAGACAAAAGCAGAAAAGGCAGGGCACAAGACCTCTCTCCCTCAGAGGCTGACAGTTTCAGCAAGATCGCAGACTCCAGCACTCTCCTTCTCTGGTGACCGTGTCAAGACACTGTCCAGAAAACCCTCTTCCCTCTGGAGATTCCTTTTCTGTGCGTATGAAGTGTTTCCTGCCTCAGCCACTGGTGGATTATGGGCTGATTAGGGGTGTCCTTGCAGGTGGTTTGCGTGAGGAGGGTTTGAGTGTGGTTACTCCCTGGGAAACACTTCTCACCCTGCCTTTCTCTGCCAGTGGCCTCCTTTCCTTGAACTGTCCGTCCAGTCATTGGTTAAGTTCTCCTGGGCACTAACTCTGTGCCAGGTGCTGCTAAGCACTAAACACCCCAGAACACTGGCTGGTCCTGGACTCACAGCTCCAGGTTGGAGGCAGAGCCTCTGAGCCTCAACTCCCACCTCTGCACAGATGGCTCCCAAGTCAACCTGGCTGGCCCCGTGTCCTAACTGCCCACCAGGTAGTTACCTTTGGAAGCCCCAAGTGTAAAATGCCACAGTGGACCTCATTGTCTCCCCCTAGCACTCTGTCCCCCTGCAGACTTCCCCACATCTGTGCACAGCAGCCTTTTGGTCGTGGGTTAGTATCACATAACTGATACTTCAAACCTTGAAGTTGTCTTTGAGTCATTCATTCAGACACCGCTTACCCTCATCTCTGAGGCTGTAAACAGTTTTCCCTCCTGTGCAGACTCTGACTGACTAACTGCAGGAGCTCCTGTTGAAGAGAAGGTTGCCAGGGCTCAGGGGAAGAGCGCACTGAGGCTGATGAGTACCACTGAACTGAACGGGCAGGGAGGAGGAGCTGAATGGCTTACCTTTGCCGTCCCTGGACTGTCTCTGGAACCTCTTTGTCTGCCCTTCCTCGACACTAGAGAGTGGCGTGTCGTTCACTGGCAGCCCCCGCTTGTGCTCAGCAGCTTAGAGGAGACACAACCACTAACAGACTCAGCTCCCAAGAGCAGGAACCAAGCTCACCCCATGAAACAAAAACAGGTCCCCAACCAGTACATGCTGCAAAGAACAGGTCCCCCAACCAGTACATGCTGCAAAGAACAGGTCCCCCAAAAAGTACATGCTGCAAAAAACAGGTCCCCCAAACAGTACATGCTGCAAAGAACAGGTCCCCCAAAAAGTACTTGCTGCAAAGAACAGGTCCCCCAACCAGTACGTGCTGCAAAGAACAGGTCCCCCAACCAGTACATGCTGCAAAGAACAAGTCCCCCAAACAGAACATGAGGCAAAGAACAGGTCCCCCAAACAGTACATGCGGCAAAGAACAGGTCCCCCAAACAGTACGTGCTGCAAAGAACAGGTCCCCCAAACAGTATATGTGACAAAGAACAGGTCCCCCAACCAGTACATGCTGCAAAGAACAAGTCCCCCAAACAGTACATGCTGCAAAGAACAGGTCCCCCAACCAGTACATGCAGCAAAGAACAGGTCCCCCAAACAGTACGTGCTGCAAAGAACAGGTCCCCCAAACAGTACGTGCTGCAAAGAACAGGTCCCCCAAACAGTACATGCGGCAAAGAACAGGTCCCCCAACCAGTACATGCGGCAAAGAACAGGTCCCCCAAACAGTACGTGCTGCAAAGAACAGGTCCCCCAAACAGTACGTGCTGCAAAGAACAGGTCCCCCAAACAGTACGTGCTGCAAAGAACAGGTCCCCCAAACAGTACGTGCTGCAAAGAACAGGTCCCCCAACCAGTACATGCGGCAAAGAACAGGTCCCCCAACCAGTACATGCGGCAAAGAACAGGTCCCCCAAACAGTACGTGCTGCAAAGAACAGGTCCCCCAAACAGTACGTGCTGCAAAGAACAGGTCCCCCAAACAGTACGTGCTGCAAAGAACAGGTCCCCCAAACAGTACATGCGGCAAAGAACAGGTCCCCCAACCAGTACATGCGGCAAAGAACAGGTCCCCCAAACAGTACGTGCTGCAAAGAACAGGTCCCCCAAACAGTACGTGCTGCAACGCTGCATCTCACAGGGCAGAAAGCAAAGAGCACGAGAGTTCAGAGAAGAGCCTGAGAACGGGCTGGGGCATGGGGGAATGCTCACAGAGCATGAGACGTGAACATGGTCCCTGGAGTTGGCCTCAGGTGGGCTCACAGGAGGAGAGAGTACAAGCCAGGGAAGGGGGCAACACGAGGGGCCCGAGGCAAGAGCAAGTGCGCTTCACTACGGGTGGGTCCGGAGCCTGCAGGACAGCCCAGGTGCAGGCCCTGCACCGGGACCCTCGCTCCCCTGTGCTCACCGCAGGCTCCCTGCAGCCCACTGCAGGCCGGGGCCAAAAAATCCCAGCCCTGCCATCTGCCCACAGGAAGCCATGCTCTATCAGAACTATTCTCAACATTGCATTCACATCTGAAAATCAGAACATTCTGGAATTGTGATGCACTTCAAATCTGCCCCCAGCACACTCATGTCCAGAGGCTTTCTCTCTCAAAATACTCTGACGGTGACCACACCAGGGAAGGGGACATGAAGGAAATGAGTAGGGAATGGTCTAGAAGAAAGGACTTTTTTTTAAGACAGAGTCTCACTGTGTCCCCCAGGCTGGAGTGCAGTGTCTCGGCTTACCTCAGCCTTTACCTCCCAAGACAAGTGATCCTTGAACCTTAGTCTCCTGCGTAGCTGGGACCACAGCTACATGTTTTTTTAGTAGAGACGGGGTCTCACTGTGTTGCCCAGACTGGTCTTGAACTACTGGGCTCAAGCTATCCTCCTGCCTCAGCCTCCCAAAGTGCTAGGATTATAGGTGTGAGCTGCCATGCCTACCCTAGAGATGAGAAACTTAAGAAAACCATACACAAGGGCTGGACATGGTGGCTTATGCCCGTATTCCCATTTCTTTGGGAAGCCTGATCACTTAAGGTCAGGAGTTCAAGATCAGCCTGTGTGATCAGCCTGTGGGCAATGTGGTGAAAACTCATCTCTACCAAAAATACAAAAATTAGCCAAGCCTGATAGTGCCTGTCTGTAGTCCCGGTTTCTTGGGAGGCTGAGCCATAAGCATCACTTGAACCTGGAAGGTGGAGGTTGCAGTGATCCAAACTTGTGCCACTGCACTCCAGCCTTGGCAACAGATGAGACTAGACTCTGTCTCAAAAATAAAAAACAAAAACAAAAACAAAAAGAGGCTGTGACAATCTGCTTCGACCAAGAAATGTGTGTATTGGCTGGGCGCGGTGGCTCACGCCTGTAATCCCAGCACTTTGGGAGGCCGAGGCAGGTGGGTCACTTGAGGTCAGGAGTTGGAGACCAGCCTAGCCAATGTGGCAAAACCCTGTCTCTACTGAAAATACAAAAATTATCTGGGTGTGGTGGCACATGCCTGTAATCCCAGCTGCTTAGGAGGCTGAGGCAGAAGAATTGCTTGAACCCAGGAGGCGGAAGTTACAGTGAGCTGAGATCGCCCACTGCAATCCAGCCTGGGTGGCAGAATGAGACTGTTTCAAGAAAGAAAGAAAGAAAGAAAGAGAGAGAGAAAGAGAGAGAGAGAGAGAGAGAGAGGGGGAAGGGAAGAAGGGAAGAAGGGAGGAAGGGAAGGAAGGGAAGGGAAGGGAGGGGAGGGGAGGGGAGGGGAGGGGAGGGGAGGGGAGGGGAGGGAAAAAGGAAAGGAAAGGGTGCATTATCCCAGCCTCATGGAGAGACCATTGCCCCAGCCAGGCTGTCACCCTGGCAAGATTGCTTTCTGAACTCCTTAGGCCTGGCCTCCTCCTCCAGCCCCCACTCTACCCCTGCTGTCCCAGTAATGCTTCCCAGGCCTGCTGCACTGGTGTGTGGCTGTCATCCCTTCCCCTTAGGAAATGCAGAAAAGACCTTTAGAAGCACAAAGCCCTTCCCACCCTTGCCACACGCTCAGGGGGTTTCCTTGAAAGGCAGGTGGGCACAGATGCCAGGAGCAGGCGTGGGCTGCCTGTGTGGGCCTGGATCAGAAAGACCCCCTTAGAGATCACAGGAAATCTGAAAGACGTCCGCCCTACTGACCTGGTTGGTTTTGTTTTTTTGATTTGTGCTACCAGAGGCTAATGCTTTTCTTTTCTTTTTTAAAGAAAGTAGGACATCTTCCAGGTCTCCCCTGAAATGTTTCAGCCAGTCAGAACCCAGTTTCCAAGGTCTGCCCTTGGGCTTATCAGTGGCAGTGAGCAGCCCAGACCATGTTTTACGGAATTTCAATGATGAGGTGCAAGGCCTGCCTCCCGCCAGTCCCTGGGCCACTGAGCCAATTTGCAAGCATTAACATTCAGCCCGAATCAGTCAGGAGACGCCAGGTCAGAGCTGGCTACCCAGCCAGCCGCCCAAGCCTGCTGTGTATCTGTGTAGTCATTGTATTGAAAAGCCGCTAATTCCAATTTAATTGCTGTGCCTTTGGTAATCTGGGTCATAGTTAACAGCAATAAATAAATCCAACTTGGATGGGAAGGTTTGTTGGGAGGTAGGGGGCGCAGAAGGAATTGGTGAAGCAGGTTTTAGAGGCTTGCTTCCTACCCACTCACCCTCACCCACTGGATTTCACACTGCCCAGGACCAAATCCAATGACCTTGGTGCCGCGGGATCCACTGGGCTGCACCGTTCTTCCCTGGTATCACACAGAGCCATCTGGCTCTGTACAGTGGCACTGCCATGTGCCGGCACCCTCTCCCCTCTAGGCAGTCCCCTGTCTCCCCCCACACTCCATCTCTTCCTCTCCCTGCTCCCCTGCTCCCAAATACCCATCCTCAGCATCCCCCAGCAGATGTTGAGAGGCGCATTGCTGCTGCAGTCAGCCTGCCTGCCCCTAGGGCACCACCTTCCCTGCCTGAAACTCTGCTGCTAGCAAGTGCCCAGGCCATGGAGTTTTCTCTATGCTCAGGGCACTCCCATATGCAAGACTGAATTTAAGCTTCACACAGGTTGGGTGGCTTGCCCAAGGTGCACAGCAGCCCAGAGTCCTCAAGATGAAAACCCTGGCCCAGTCTCTGTCTGTGTGCTTCCGCTCAGGCCCCATCCAGAGCACCCTCCCCCCATGGTCGCCCAAGGGCCTGCCCAACACCCCGGGGCCAGTATTGCCCCCTAACCCGTGCTGTGCTCTGCTTCTCCCCAGACCTGCCCATGCAGATCCTGAAGCCAGCAACCTTCACCGACACCACCCACTACCCTCTGCTCCTGGTGGTGTAAGTATCATCATGTCTGCTCGCTCTGGGGCTCCGTGATGCTCATGATAAGTGAATATTGAACTCTTAAGAAAAGATAATCAGGAGAAATTATATTGTTGCAAACTGAAAACAGAAGATCATTTATCCCAGTGTCAGCTTCTTTCTGACTCTTGGAAACCCCCAAAGGTTAACAGAAAGTGGATACTGTGACTTACCCTTTCTCCAGACTGCCTCAGGGTGTTCTGTGACCATAAGCGAGGCGGCTGGCATCCTGATAGTGGCATCTTGCATGACAGGCTCACCCGGAGGCATGCAGGGGATGGGTACCAAGACACGGAGCCACAGGCTGGCCGGAGCCTGGAACCTGCACACTGGGCCTGTGGGTCTCCCTCAAATAGGAGCCTGGCTGGCATTTCTGGCCACTGAATGCCCTTTCTTTGCCAGCAAAGAATTTGTTCAGCTGTTCAGCTCTTTCTTATGTTCATTAATAAAGCCTCCAGTCTGGGTTTTGAGAACAACATTTTGTGCTCGGTACATGCCTTGAAGATACTGGGTCTGATTAGGGAGCTCAGTGCTGGGAGCCAGCTGGATGCCCTGTGCAGGGGTTCAAATGCTGCCAGACAGCCTGGAGTCTAGGTAATGCCCACATGCTCACACCACACTGGGGGGCAGTGCAGAGGGTGCCACCTGGACCATGGGGCAAATACCCCAATGCACCTCCTGGTCTGTCTTTCCAAGACCACAAAGCAGGAGAAACTCCTGTGCCCCTCATGGGCTGGGAGAGCTGGCTGGAGTAGAGGCTGTGTTACGGACACCAGTGCCATGACCCTGAGTAAACACCGGCACCTGATAGAGTTCTGATTAACCCTGGTGTCGTGCCAGGGGGACCCCGGCTCCCTTCCTGAGGGCTGAGTCCCTAAATAGCAAAAGCCTCCATTATAGAAACGCCCCAAGGCACAAATTCCAATAGCTGATTCCATTTTGCAATTAACCCACTTTCCTCAATATCTAGACTGCTTTCACACTTTCCCAGCAGCCACACATGCATAGTCACCCACATGCACACGCACACACATACACAGGCATACACCCACATACATGCACACATGTACACACATGCACACTCACCCACATGCACTCACACACAGGCACACAGATGCACACTCACCCACATGCACATGCGCACACACAGAGGTGTACACATGCACTCTCACCCACATGCACTCACACACAGGCACACAGATGCACACTCACCCACATGCACATGCGCACACAGAGGTGTACACATGCACTCTCACCCACTGCACTCACACACAGGCACACAGATGCACACTCACCCACATGCACACACAGAGAGGTGTACACATGCGCACCCACATGCACCCACACACACATGCACACACCATACACACATGCACCCATATAGACACACACGTGCACACATGCACACCCACATGCACCCACACACATGCACATACACCCACATGCACACACACCATATAGACACACATGCGCACACATGCATACCCACATGCACACATGCACCCACACACATGCACACATGCACCTGCATGCATAAGCACACACATGCACCCACTCACCCAAGTGCACACACACGCACACACACATGCACACGCACCTGCATGCATAAGCACATACCCACATGCACACACGCATGCAGCACACACATATATGCACAAATACACCCATATGCACACACACATCTATACACACCCACACTCCACAACCCACACATACACAAGCCCGCATGCCCACATCCCCCACACATCACACGTTTCCTGCCTCCTTTCTCTCACTAAACCAGATTTTCTCCACTTTCTCCAAGATGCTAATCTAATGACTTACAGATCAGCTTTCTTCCCCTGAACACTGATTTCTTCAGTAATCTTAAAGGGAATCTCCAAAAGCTTTTCAGTCCACAAAACGATTCACTTTCCCTTCAGAGGTAAAAGCTGTCGTGCCAGGTGGAGACAGCTGAGCTCTACCGAGCTCAGATGGGACCAGCCAGGCAGCCCCAACCCCTGGACACACACTCACTCTGGCCTCGCTAGCCTGCCTCGGAGGCTGTGTCTTTTTGCATATTTCTCTCTATGACATCAAATATGACAGCAAGGAGATCTGGAGTCCCTGATCCCCTGCTTCAAACTTTAAAAATCCAAAAGGAAACAAATGTACACTTGACATAGAGCAGCGCCATGACTGACTAGGACCCTCAGCATGCAGCAGCCTGGTGTGTGGGCCTCCTGGGCTGCTCCTTCTGCCTGCACCACACTCCTCAGTCCTTGGCGAACAGCTGGGAGAGTGCCGGTGGCCGGAGCTGTCGCCTCGCTGGATCCACTGCTCCCTGTGGCTATTCTGGGAGGCAGGCTGGATCTGGGGCTGGCTTTCTCTCCTGTCCTTCCTTTTCCCAGCAAGAGGGAAAATCACTTAAAAACCTCCCCACACTTATGAGCATGCCGGTCAATGAGGAACAGCCAGTCTTGTATTGAAAATGGCCCTGTTCCCAGCCTGGGCAACATAGCAAGATCCCATTTCTACAGATTCACAGATTTGTCTTTTAATTAGCCAGGCGTGGTGGCATATGCCTGTGGTCCCAGCTATTTGGAAGGCAGAAGTGGGAGGATTACTTGAGCCCCAGAGGTCAAGGCTGCAGTGTGCCAACATCGTGCCACTAAAGTCTGGCCTGGGCAACAGAGTGACAGCCTGCCTCAAAAAAAAGACCGGGCGCGGTGGCTCACGCCTGTAATCCCAGCACTTTGGGAGGCCAAGGCAGGAGGATCACAAGGTCAGGAGATCAAGACCATCCTGGCTAACACAGTGAAACCCCATCTCTAGAACCCAGGAAAGAGAAACCGCCTTGCAGTATAGGGAAAGCCTGCCAGAGGGAGAAGTTGGGAGGATTTTTCTTGTTTCCCTCACCAAATAGAGGCCCTTTGGTGGCCATCCCTGCAGTGCCCTGGTGTTTAGGGATGGTCCTGGGTCTCCTGGGCTCTTTGAGGTCTCCTCTTTCTCTTCACCTTATGGGGTGTGGATAACACCTGGCTCAGCTGCCTGGGGCAGGAGAATCTGGGGGTGCAGAGTTGAGCGTGTGGCAGGTGGATCATGGATAAAGATCCCTTATGAGGGGTCATCTGACCTGGTGATGACCAGCCGCCACCTGCCACACTGCTGGCCTGCTGAGCCCAGGACTCCTCTGCAGGGATGGCACCCCGGGGAGCCAGAGCGTGGCTGAGAAGTTCGAGGTGAGCTGGGAGACAGTGATGGTAAGCAGCCACGGCGCGATGGTGCTGAAGTGCGACGGCCGCGGCAGCGGCTTCCAAGGGACCAAGCTCCTGCACGAAGTGAGGCGGCGGCTGGGCTTGCTGGAGGAGAAGGACCAGATGGAGGCCGTGCGGTGAGCACCTGCCTGGGAAGCGGGAGAGGCGAGGAGGGGACGGTGCTTCTCATGGGGGCTGCGCCGAAGTCAGTGCGGGAATGCTTTTGGTCCGTGCACACGTTTTGCACGCAATCTGCTCTTACCTAAAAACTCTTGGCAACTCCCAAGCAAGTATCAAAGGAAACTGTTCGGAACCTTCTCCTAGGGACGTTTATAGCTAGTTTCCCACTGCAGGGGAGAGTGTTGAGTTGGCCAAAACAAGGCGCTGGAACTGCCAGCTGGGTCTGCTCGGCTTTCCTGCACTGCGGTCACTGACCCGGCCAGCGTCCATGCTTGTTTTGCCATTTATCCCGAGGGGAAGAGAGCCGAGATCAGGAGCGAAGGACAGGAAAAGGGAAGGAATGTAAATGGGGCTGAATCCATGCAAATGAGAACAGGACCTCCCTGCACATCCAGGCGGGGTCAGAAATGACCGCCCACCCCCCGCCCTGGCTCTGAGGGAGGGCAGGCTTCTGCTCTCTCATTCCTCTACATCCCTTTCACTGACTCAGCCAGAGAAGCCAGCTATCCCAGAAAACAAAAAGAGCCTTAGCACCAAGGGGCAGATGCTCCAAATGACTTATTGGATCTTATTGTTGCACTGGAAATAAAAAAAGACATCAAGACACTGTGCCAGGCTACAGCTGGCCTCACACTCATTTTGTGGAAGTCATTTTCACAGTCTGATGGCGCAGAGGACTGCAGCACTTACTCTAACTTCACCCCTCAGAGAGGCTGCAAAACAACTCAACTGACTATGGACTCGGGTGCTGGGAATGACAAGAGGGCAGGAGAAGCTCATCTGCCAGGGACCCCCGCAGTGACCGTGATCATCACCGTCCTGGGCAGGGGAGAGTGAGGGGGGGCCCGGGCACATGAGGAGGGTGGAGCACAGAGCCCAGCTCAGCACGTTCTGTTGACTGCAGGATGACAGTAAACCTGGCATCTCTGTACCTATTATACCAGGGTGCTTTGTGGCTTTGAAAATTTTTACTCTACTGACTTTCAAAACATTTATTCTCATTTTGAAAAGGATTGATGGCCTCTCATCTGCAGTCAGTAAATGGTCTTTCAATGGAAAACAATGGCCCCCATCCCTCCTACAGGGAGCTATGAGCTGGGTGACAAAGCCCTGTGCCACAGAGCGGGAGAGCCCTCAGGACTCAGATACTCAGGGAAGGAATGTCTGCCAGGATGCCTTTGCCTGGAATTCAACGACTACAACACGTGCGGTGCACGCGCACGTGCACACACACACACACACCCTCAAATAAGGAACTATATTGGCTATGAAAGACACAGAGATCCCAGGCCTCAGAGCTGATGAATCCAGACACCAACAACGTCACCAAAGACCCAGGCTCTCTCCGTCCGTCCGCCCAGCCAGCCACGATGGCCTCATCCTAAGCAGGGCCCTCAGCTCACAGGCTGGCCCTCAGTAGCACCTGGCTCCATGCTTCTTCATCTACCTACAGCAGGTTGGGGAGGGAACCACTTCTAGAAACTTCCAGAAAGGAAGGAAAATCTCCCCAGAAGCAGACAGCAAACGTCTCTTTCCATCTCCCTGCCCCCCCCCCGCCCATTCCAGAAACTGCCACCAGTGAGAGAGGTGTAGGCAGCTTCCCCAAGACCAAATGGATCCGCCTGCCATGGGTGTGGGGCCAGCCCCTGGGCAGAAGACATAGGGTGACATCAGCCTAATCCTCCAGCTCCCAGGCGGCCCTCGCAGCTCCCGTCCACTGCCACCACATCCTCACCGAGGAGCCCACAGGGCCTGCCTTCCACAAGCAGCTGAGATGAACTGTGGAAGGGAGCTCGTCCCCACCGTGGAAGGCGGGGGCATCTGTGTAAACCCCCAACCAGGGCCAGGTGGGCTCCGGTCTCCCAGAGACAGGTTGCTTTGGGCTCACCTTGGGATTTTCTTCACCATTTTCCCTTTTGGATCCTATGTGCTCATGTGTACACACACAGACACCCTGGGCCATGTGCTAAGGAACAACAGACATGCAACCTTCTAAGTGAAAGACACTGAAGACGCAGGGAGCTCTCTGCCTCTGCCCATTTGCCAGACACCAGGACCTCCATCCTTCCTTTCTGGGGATGGCACCTGCTCACCAGCCCAGAGAGGACACCAGCCAGCACCAGAGGACTCTGGGGGCAGATTGCACTGCCTTCCAACGGGTTCCCTCCTTTTAAAAGACTGGAGGCCAGGCACAGTGGCTCAGGCCTGTAATCCCAGCAATTTGGGAGGCCAAGGCTGGCGGATCACTTGAGGTCAGGAGTTCGAGACCAGCCTGGCCAACATGGCAAAGCCCTCTCTCTACTAAAAACACAAAAATTAGCCAGGTATAGTTGTGGGTGCCTGTAGCTCTAGCTAATCTGGAGGCTGAGACAGGAGAATTGCTTGAACCCAGGAGGCAGAGGTTACAGTGAGCCAAGATCACGCCATCGCACTCCCCCCGGGCAACAAGCAAAACTCCATCTCAAATACATAAATGAAAGACTGGAGCTGCTCTCTCCTTTGCCTGGTCATATGCTGAGAGTTATAGCTCTTTGTTAAAGTGCTATGTAAGCAGGGCCCCTAAGCCCCTGCCTTGCGAGAGGCACTGGAACCGAGGCTCCCGCCATGTACAGGGCACAGCCCCCGCCAGGAGACCTCGCTGGGTTTCCTCTTGTGCATCTGACTTGCATTTTCAGGACAGTGAACATGTCTCAACCAAGAACTCATACAGGTTGAGAAAAGAAATTATATTTTCTCCTCTTTACTAGAAAGTTTCTAAAAATATCTCTGATCTAACTCCACTCTTGGTACTACGGCTTGGCTAGAGGTAAAATCCAGACACACAATCATTTGCATCTAACAAGCCCGCAGCCTGCAGGCCTCCTGCTGCTGGTCAGGGTCTAGAAACTGTAGGACCCCAGCCACTTCGCGGGGAAGCAGCAGACCACGGTACAGGGTGAGGTCCCGGCCAGGGTGAGGCAGGGACCCAGGCAGCACCGGCCCAGAGCACTGAGACCTAGAGAACCAAGCAGGCGCAGCCAAGGCCAGGCCGCAGCAGGAAGCTCATGGGAGGAATCCTTCTGTGGCCAAACAGGTAGAAGACAGAGGCCTCGAGTCTTTGCTATTGTAAACAGTGCTGCAATGAACATCCATGTGCATGTGTCCTTATAGTAGACCGATTTATAGTCCTTTGGATATATACCCAGCAATCCCATTACTGGGATTTCTATTTCTAGGTCCTTGAGGAATCGCCACACTGTCTTCCACAATGCTTGAACTAATTTACACTGGGGAGAAATGCCAAATGTGGGTGAAGGGGAGGAAGGCAGCAAAACACACTGCCACGTGTGTACGTATGCAACTATCTTGCATGTTCTGCACATGTACCCCAAAACCTAAAATGTAATTAAAAAAAAAAAAGACGACGACAGAGGCCTCCTCCCAGAAATTGGAAACAGGGCAGTGCGGGTTGGATGGGGTCTCACGGCTCGACTCCAAGCCCAGAAGCACAGCAGAGCTCCATGGATCCCTGCCAGTCCCCGAGGCTCATCCCAGCACCTGGGTGCTTGGAGTCACAGGCACGGGTAAGGGCCGAATAGCAGCAAGTGGGCCCCGGGCCGCAGGGGTGAGTCTCCCAGAAGGGCCTCTGCGGCTGTGGATTAACGGCTCATGCATGGTCGAGAAGCTTCTATACATGGAGGTGCTAGAGAGTTATTGCCAGGGTGCTTTGAGCTGTTAAATGTCAACATACTGACTTGCCACTAAATTAAAGCAATGAGCCATTATATTAGAATGGTAAGGTTGCTTTTTATTTGAAGAGGGGTTTTCCTACTTGAAATGGTTGGAAAACATGGCTCGGGGCCATGGGAAGACAAGATACCACCAGGATGTGCACTGAACCCCCTCTCCCCTCCTGGACCCCGCAGGACAATGCTGAAGGAGCAGTACATTGACAGGACGCGCGTGGCCGTGTTCGGGAAGGTGAGTCCGCGACACCCCGAGTCTCAACACCCCTTAGCTCCAGTGCAGCCTGCGTCACTACCCAGGCCTAACCCTGGTTTACTCAGAATGTCTTCGGTCTGCTGGTGAGCAAGTAATGATTTTTTTAAGAGCGAGAGCCTGGGCGCTTAGTGATTCAATCAATGGGAGCTTTCATTTCATCGGCTCATTTTTCAGTTTCTTTTTACATTATCTGGAAGGAAAGAGAAGCCAGCTCCTCGCAGGAGAGCTCTAATATGTTACCAATGGCTTTTCTCCCATCCACCTGCTGCAGCTCTTAGCAGGGTAGCCCAGGAAAGAAGGGAAGCAGGAATCTATTTCTGGATGTCTTGATGGGCCTAACAATGTCAATTACCATGTCTACGTAGACGGAAGGAAGGGTGTGAGGAGGGTCTCGCAGTGAACTCTCAAACCAGACGGGGGGCTCCCATCTGGGGTCCCCCGTCAGAAAGCTGCAGCCTGGGAAGGCTCAGCTGTAGCGGAGGCTCACAGTTTGGAGTTAGGTCCCTGTAGGGCCACCTGCTGTTGCCCTGGCACATGGCCCCGCATTCTCCTTAGACCTGGGGCCTCTTGATCTCAAGGCCAGCACACAGATGGGTCGGCATAGACCCACCTCCCCTCCAAGAGAATGACCCTCAGCACAGGCCCTGCAGGGGAGGGCTTGCCGTGACGCTCCCACAGGTGAAGGGTTGGACAGGTAATTAGCACTGTGCCTCTTATATCATCGCCTCCAAATCTCGAGTGCCTCAGAATCCAGCAGGCACTCAAGACCTGGGCCCATGGGCAGCTCCTAGAAACGGGATGTGGGAACCCTCCCATACCTGCTCCTTACCTGCTGGAGGTGAGGCGGTCAAGAGGAGGGCAGGTGGCTTCCCTCCTTGGTTCAGAGCTTGGGCACAGAGCCCTAGAGGTGCATTCCAGGTGCCTAGAGGTCCACTCATTGCCCGGGAGGCCGGGAGCCACTGGGTCATTGATAGCTATAACTGAGGTGTCAATAGCCATCACCTCTCCCCACCGTCATGGAAGTGACTTCCCAGCTGAAAGGCAGGGAGCCTGGGCTGTGGTCAGTCTTTGTCCAGTCCTCACTTTGCCTCACATGTGCATGGATGCCACTCCTGAGGGATGGGCCTCCTTCCTGTGCCCACACATAGTACACCCACTCAGGGCCTTTCATACTTCACTTCCGGACACAGAGAATACAGGAGTCACGTGGGGTAAATTGGCTTTCTCAACAGGCGGTTGGTCCAGAAGCCCTGGCAGCCAAGGTGCCTCAGGGAAAGGGGACCCCGTGCACCTGTCCGAGTACAGCTGATGCACCCCACACCCTGTACCTCCGCACTGAGCTCCGCCAGACATGTGCCCCAGCTTGGCTCCAGGGTCTTTTTTTGCCATTCTGTCCGGTGGATCCTGGGCCTCTTTCCAGAGCAGTTTCTGTTTTGTTTTAACAAGCCTGAGGTAGAGGTCCATAGACCACACAGTTGCATTTCTCCTCCGAGGAATGAAGCATCACCCTTTTAGCAGCTCAGCACGTGACGACCGGTCCATTCTCTCTACCTCGCATGTGCCCAACTGAGCCTGGTGGCTTCATCAGGCATCACAGGACCTGGGACCCAGAGCCCAGGGGAGCAGCAGCCACCCTGCACCCAGAGGTGTCCTGGGGAGCAAGGGGGTACCTGGGCATTGTGTCCTGCAGGTTCTCCTCGAAACTGAAAACCCCCCTGCAGAAGATCGCCAGCCTCCCATTTAAACCAGAGCAGGCCGTGTGGCCCTGCAGGAAAACAGTTTTAAAGAAAATGAGGAATGGCTTGTAAGAACATGTGGAGCTCATTGACAATAAATACTGTTTTTCAGAAAATGAAAATACTCTTTCATCATCATTAGACAAGGTGCTCCTGCCCCATGAAAGGAGTACACCTGAACCATGGTGCAGGTCACAAATGAGTGATCCTGGGCGAGTGTGGCATGACATGGGCTTCATGGTCTCAGTTAGGTGCCTAGGTTCTCTGTACTCCATGCTCCCATGAACATGTGTGCTCAGACTCACACACACACACATGCTCACCCACATACACACCCACACATATGCATGCTCACACACACACGATTACATACATATGCTCACACACACAGGCTCACACACATACATGTGCACACACAGTACATGCACACGATTACATACACATGCTCACATGTTCACACATGCACACACATTCTCACACATGCACATGCTCACTCACACACATGCTCATCCACACACAGGACTACATATACATGCTCACACACAGGCTCACACATATACATGCTCACACATGCTCACACATGCTCACAATATATGCACATGATTACATACACATGCTCACACATGCACATACACCCAAACATCCGCACAAATGCACATGCCCACACACACACATGCTCACCCACATACATACTATCACACAACTACATATACATGCTCACACACTTATAGGCTCACACATATACATGCTCACACATGCTCACACATCCATGCTCACCATACATGCACATGTTTACATACACATGCTCACATATAAACATTCATACATGCTCACAGGCACATATGATCACACATACACAGGCCCACACACATGCTCACACATGTTCTCACACACGTACATGCATACACACAGGCTTACACACATGCTCATGTGCTTATACACACATGCGCACACATACCCCATATACTCACACAGACATCCACACACACACTGTTACATGCCCTGTCTCACAGACACTTGACATAGTTCCCTGCTGTCCCCAGCTCCCTCAGGGTCATCTCAGGAGGCTGCAGCTCATCTGAGCACCCAGCTCTAAAGGCACCAAGCCGGCAAGGACATAGTGCTTTCTCTGGGGAGGTCTGTGCTGCAGTGAGGCTTCCTCACGTCCATCGAGGCCACGGCCGTGCAGGAGTCTAGGACTCACCTGAACACAGAACACCTGGGAGCGCCCATCTCACATTGGCCCTGTGCTGAGCACGACAGCCGCCTGGCCCCTCCCTCGGAATCTAGTGCAATGGCTCAGCCCGGCCCGTAGACAAGGGAGGCATCCAGAAACCTGTAGAGAGACGCTGAGCCGGAAGGACAGCGCCGTGCAGCAGCACAGTCCACACCTGCCTTTCCAATGCACCGGCGCAGTTCATCCTCACGTGTCTTGACACGAAGCCCCAGAGCGGGGAAGGCTTGCATCACATAACGCTGAGTGGGAAGGGGTTTGCATTTCATTTCGTCATGTCCCTAAACAACTTTCCAATTGGCACATTTTGTAAAAGCAGAGAACCTGCCAGGCAGTGGCTGCTCTGGGGCGGTGTCCCTGCCCAAGGCTGCTTCGTGCTGAGTTACTGCCGGGACTCCTAACTGTCTTTTCTCTGCATTCTCCCCAGGATTACGGTGGTTACCTGAGCACCTACATCCTCCCAGCAAAGGGGGAAAATCAGGGCCAGATGTTCACCTGCGGCTCTGCTGTCTCTCCAATAACAGATTTCAAACTCTATGGTAAATAGCCTTGCGGGACCCAGCGCTGGCCCCCGCCCCCATGCCCTCCCTCCCTGCGCAGCCCCACAGCCCTCCCCGTAGCACCTCCATCTCTCTAACCACAGGTGCCTGCAGTCTAGTCGCCACCTTGGGCTGATGGTTGAGACCTCCCAGGAAGAACCTGGGGAAGGAGAGGGGAGGGTCTCAGGTGATACATTTTGAATGAAAATGGCCAATCCTCAGATCCCTATAAACCACATCCCATCCAAGTAGACCACAAGTTGGAAACAGAACTAGTGCTCAGCTTGCAGCAGCGGGGTCAAGGAAGCTGGGGTGTGAGTGGGGGAGCAAGTGCCACAGGCCCTGCTGAGCTGCCCTTCCTCTCTACTCCCAGAACCCGGGCAGGGCCCTGTGCTGCGATCCATGCCTGGGCATAGGTATTTGGTGGGCAGGAGTTACGAGAGAAGGAAGGGGTGGTTGGGAGGGAATTGCCAGCAGAGGGCGATTCAGTGGAGGTCTACGTGGCTCAGCTCTGCCTTCCTTTCTCCCTGGCCATGCAAAGGCACCTGGCTAGCACCTGTCCTCAGAGAGCATGGCTCTCCATGGGCACAAGCCAGAGACGGGGCAGGCTGTCAGGGTGACCTGCTGTGGGGACCAGATAGAGATGAGCCCACCCACGTGTGGGAACCAGACCTCTGCCCAGGCACAGAGGGGCTTTGCTGTGTTTGGGGGTTCCAGGCCCCTGCATTCTCCTCCTTATCATCACACAACCCTTTTTCTCTGAATGGGAGGGGCTCCGTGACCTGAACCCATTTCTTAGAATATGCAGAGAGGTCTTTTCTGTGGCCCCAAGAACTCACATTCCGGTCGGGGCTCTGTAGCGACCAGGCTGTTTGCTCCAGCGGACCCCACCCTAAGCAGAGCTGGCAAGTGAGGTGGAAACAGAGGGGGCTTCCTGGTCCACCACAGCCCCGCCGGAGCATGACGTTCCCTGCGGTTTAGAGGAACAAGTCCAGCCCCATTGCCACACCTAGCCCAGCCCCGCTGTGACGGCCGAGCCCCGTGGACACCGCCCACTAGGGCAGGGACCGAGGTGGGCCCAGCAGCCCTCTGGCTGGTGCAGCTAAGTCTCCTGACAGATGCCCATCTTCACAACCGGCTCATGCCAAGGCAAATTTCCACTTGTGATTACACAGGAACTCTCTGGGTCCAAAATATGAATCCTGTAAGGAATTTTCCCACGGGAATGCGGGTGGTACTTTCAAATTCAGTGAGACTCTAATTATTTAATCACACCGTTTCAGATTTGTGTGACTCAAATGCACGTAAAAGCTGCCACCGTGTCTTGATGGGTCACTGTGCCCCAAACCAGCCTGTTCTCTTCATTGTCTCCTGGCTGCTGTCAGGCTTACTGGGCAGGCTGGGGGTGCCGTGCAGAGAGCCCTTTCCGCCATCAGCCCTGGGAGAAGCCCCCACCCTCCTCCTGTCGCCTGGCTGACCGCAGGGCCTCATGCAGAACCAAGAGCAGGGGCACACCTGGACTTTTTAAAAAACAAGTAAATCTTGATGGAAACGTGCTCTCTTACCACCCGCTCCCCTCCTAAGTGTTGAAGTAGGAGGTTATCTTATTTATTTAGGAATCAGATTCACCGGATTTTGCTTAATTAAGGTTCTGCGATGCTGATGAAAACCCCACCACCGACACTCACACACGTTAAGGTTCCTGTTGTAAAGCCCAAAGGATTTAGGTGGTGTTTTTAAAAAATCAACAATCTGCCAAGCAAGTGGCAAGTGGGAGTCAGTCTGTGTCCCCGCCCCCAACCCCTCCCACTCATCCCGGGGCCCTCCCTGGAGTCTGCGCACTGTGCTCACAGGGCCTCGAAGCCCAGAGGTAACCTTCCACCCTTTGCTTCTGTGCAGCCTCTGCGTTTTCCGAGAGGTACTTGGGCCTCCACGGACTTGACAATAGAGCCTACGAGGTATGTTTGGGTACAGCCGGAGAATGTGATGAGACAGTCGGCCTCTGCCCTGTCTCCAACCCTGCCCTGGCTGTATGGCCCACTCTGCCTTCCCCAGCCCCATGCTTCTCCCTCTCCAGCACCAAAGCCCACTCAGAAACCTCCAAAGGATCCTTCCACCAGACTGTAGACGGAGGTTAACATGTCCTCTCTGGGTTCCGCCTGACTTCTCACTACGGAGCTTGAGGGATGAGGAAGAAAGTGAGAGGATTTTCATGGGGGAGTCAGTGCCAGCGTCCACGGAGACCTGCGGTGCACAGGACTCCCAGCTCTCGCGACAGCCAGAGCTGTGCTACTGGGGGAGAGTGAGCTCTTGTATGAGGAGCAAAAAGCCCCTCTGATAGGACCTCCTGAGTCAGAGCTACTGATTTGGTATGGCTGTCAGACAGTGTTTCTCCAGCTGGGGGCAGGGAGGGAGGCCAGAGCTCCTGGGCCAGGCAGGGCTGCATTTTCACAGTGGAAACTTGGACAAAGGAACTGACTCTGTCCAGGGTGTCAGCTCCCTGTGGCTCCAGGTGACATGATGGCCCTCTGAAGCTACCTGGAGTTGAAGGAAACTCTTTCTTTTTCCCTTCTTCTCTTCCACCCCTTCCTCCTCCAAAAGAAGAGTTAATATGGGGGAAAGCTGGGTGTATTTGTCCATTTTCACGCTGCTGATAAAGACATACCTGAGACTGGGCAATTTATAAAGGAAAGAGGTTTAATGGACTTACAGTTCCACGTGGCTAGGGAGGCCTCACAATCACGGTGGAAGGCAACGAGAATCAAATCACACCTTACATGGATAGCGGCAGGCAAAGAGAGCGAGCTTGTGCTGGGCAACTCCCCCTTATGAAACCATCAGAGCTCGCGAGATCTATTCACTATCACAAGCACAGCACAGGAAAGACCCGCCCCCGCGATTCAGTCCTCTCCCACTGGGTCCCTTTCACACCTGGTGGGAATTAGGGGAGCTATAAGATTTGGGTGGGGACACAGAGGCAAACCATATCGCTGGGCTTGTGAGATCTGCCTGCATTTCTTTGCAGATATAAAGCATCCCAGTTCTCCGGGCACTTGGTGTTTTCAATACCCTTCCCCTACCTTCTCAGTCAGCTTTCCAAGCAGAACGGCTGGCTCCCTGCCATGCAGCCCCTAACTCTGTCCCCTTCTCCCCGCATGTGCAGATGACCAAGGTAGCCCATCGAGTCTCCGCCCTGGAAGAACAGCAGTTCCTGATCATTCATGCCACTGCCGACGGTAGGGACTGAAAACATGAATTCACTATGTATCCGGCAAGAGCCTCCTCCTTGATAGCACCATGGCTTTTAACAAACATCTTCCTCTTTTTTTTTTTTTAAACAGAAAAAATTCATTTCCAGCACACAGCAGAACTCATCACACACCTAATTAGGGGAAAGGCTAATTACAGCTTACAGGTACAGTATGCATGTTACTCTGTTTTGAACCTGGAGCGAGACATTCCTCTCATGGAGAAAGACCTGATGGGTGTTCAGGGCATTGCATTGCAAGAGACACACCTGCAGTGTGGTGGTTGGTGATGAGCAGGGTCCCAGCAGGTTGGAAATCAGCACATACTTAACGTTTTCTTGTAATTAACGATAGCTGTGCTCTGTACTTGAGCCAAGTTTAAATCCCTTTAGAGCAGCCGCCACCCTGTACTCCCACCCCAGGCCCGCTGCCTTCCTCTGGGCAGTGAGAAGAACCGAGCCAGCACCCGCCCCACCCAGCGTGTGGCTGGGGGTATCCTGGTGTGGGGATTGGGACACCAGGCCCTGAAACTTCCCCCTTCTTCCCTCTGGCCAACACCACATATTACTAAGCACTGACAGGACTTCCTGGGGCCATGGGTAGCTGGGCAGTAGTGAAACAGGGGTGCTCTTCCCAGAACTGAACCCACTTTCCCAGAACCAACCCATGGCCCGTCCATAGCAGCATCAAGTGCTGACCCAACAGCCCCAAATCTGGGCTTTTCCCAGCAGCGCACAGGGCTGTCTCTGGAAACTTCTGCCATTTCCTTCCTGCCATCTGCTCCTTTGGTGAAATAGGTATGACCCAATGGCCTCTTCAGGTCCGAGATGAATGGGAGAGTTTTTCAGGGGCAAATGATGGCACCCCGCCTCCCTCAGAGAGCCCTTGCCTGGGCTGACCACTGCCTCAGCCTCCAGTATCCCCACTTGTGGGAGGAAGGGACCACATGTGGCCTTGATCAGGCAGGGAGAGCTCCGGCCAGAAGGGAGTTGGACCCCAGTGTGGATGAAGGACAGAGGGACTCGGTTACACCACACTTGAGTTTCTTTTTGAAAGACATTCAGATTTCAGATTTTTTCATAGTGAGTGTGGCAGTTGCCACGGCAGTGTTCACTGACCACAGTAGCTCCAAAGGTCCATCTGTATGTGCTCACATGGGTCACTCCCCAAGATAGGGGGTGAGCTCAACCCCCTAGATACAGAACAGCCTGCATCACCGAAGGCTCCACGGGTGTCAGGGAGGAGGACCCACTCGGCCTTCACAGGCACCCCATGCATCTGGAGCCAGACCCAGCCCCAGGTAGCAGCCGAGAGACGGGACCTGAGGCAGGAGGAGAAAGCTTCCTGCCCCAAACCCTTTTGTATCACCTGATGTTTTCATGACATATCAGAGCCTAATGACAGCATTAATAAATACTCTAAAACAAAGGCGAATTTCACCCTCCAAAAACATACAGGAAAGGCAGGAAAAGGCAGTCTAGTGTCACAGAAAGGTGTGGGCTTTGGGCCGGGTGCAGTGGCTCACACCTGTAATCCCAGCACTTTGGGAGGCTAAGGCGGGAGGACTGCTTGAGCCCAGGAGTTCGAGACCAGCCTGGGCAATATAGAAAGACCCATCTCTACAAAAGGTTTTTAGAAAAAAGCCGGATGTGTGGTGTGTACTTATGGTCCCAGCTACACAGGAGGCTGAGTGGGGAGAATCACTTGACCCCAGGTGGTCAAGACTGCAATGAGCTACGGTCACACCATGGCACTCCAGCCTGGGTGACAGAGTGAGACCCTGTCTCAAAAAAAGAAAAATTAAAAAAAATAAGATGCAGGCTTTGAATCCCTGCACATGCACAGATGGGTCACAGCGCTCCTAGGGGATGGTGGCATCACTGCATTGGCAGTAGAATAGTCGCCATCCTGTTGACATCTGGGACTAAACCTACATTCCAGGCCTCGTTCAGAGTACATCATGGCTATCAGATTGTTTAATTCTCACAAAGTGTTATGAGCTTGAGTCTACTGCGATTATCCTCCCCACCTGACACACTGGGAATCTGAGCTCAGGCAAGTCACCCATCCACAGTCACGCAGAGAGTGAGTAGCCAGGCCACAAACTCAGTGGGGTGGACCCATGGGCACACAGGCCAGGATACAGCCCTCCGCAGGAGTTTCCCACACTCAGAGTGTAACTGAGAGCACAGGTGGGCAGTGGAGCTCTCAGCTCACTCACTGAAACCTCGGCTCCCAGGTTCCAGCAATTCTCCTGCCTCAGCCTCCTAAGTAGCTGGGATTACAGGCATGCTCCACCACACCCGGCTAATTTTTGTATTTTTAGTAGAGACGGTTTCACTGTGTTGGCCAGGCTGGTCTCAAACTCCTGACCTCAAGTGATCCACTCACCTCGGCCTCCCAAAGTGCTGGGATTTGAGGCATGAAATTCTATTTCTTTTCAGAGCCTGACACCCTGAAAACTTGGGCTGTGGCTCTGTAGTCCCCAAGCTCGTATGCACGTTGCCAATTCAAGCAAGCAGATCTAGATTGTAGGGTGCTGAATGAAGAGCTCCCCAATGTATTCACCCAGTTCCCACTGAGCGTTTGCTATGCCTGGCAAGGGCTAGGCACTGGGCGGAGTGGCGCTGTTTGAAGGCTGGTTGGCTTCATGAACGGGTGGTGCATTTCCATGCTAGGGAAGGGCCCCTCCGACTGGCACAGACAGACGGAGCTCCCAGGAGGAAGACGCATTTCCCTCAGGAGTGACCTGGATGGGAAACTCACTTGGTGAACTAAAATCCAGCTCTGGACAGGGCCCAGGTTTCACCAGGCTCCACGCCTTCTGTGCGTTCCCGTCCCAGGGACTGTCATTTCTCCGTCGCGTTCCCGTCCCAGGGACTGTCATTTCTCCGTCGGGTTTCCGTCCCAGGGAGAGTCATTTCTCTGTGCCTTCCTTGCAGATTTACCCGGACGAAAGCCATTACTTTACCAGCACCACCCTCAAACAGCATCTGTTCCGGTCCATCATCAACTTCTTCGTGGAATGCTTCAGGATCCAGGACAAGCTGCTGGCAGCCACAGCGAAAGAGGACGAGGAGGAGGACTAACCTCAGTCGCGCTAGGCACGGACGTGGCTCTTTCTACAACCGGATGCAACTGAGGGATTTCCCCGCCCTCCCTCTTCCCTCGGAGCGGCGGGGCCGGGCGTTCCATAGCATGCGTGTCTCGGATGCAGAAGGGAAGCAGGCTCCTCCCCCGGAGTCATCACCCACGGCCTCCTCGGCACCGGGGACAGCTCTGTCCCCGCAGCGCCTCCTCCTGGCCCCCGAGAGACCGACACACCCATGGCCCCTCCCCTAAGGAACGGAGCAAAGGACGGTGGCGGCGAAGCCCAGGACAGCCCGGGGACACCGGCCCCTAGATTCCAGCCATCGAGCGGAAGCATGAGAGCCGCCCACGCTCGCCTCTGTGATCCCGTTAGCAGCGTCACGCCCTGTCTACGCCACAGCGCCATGCACCCCGCAGTTACAGCACAATTGTTCTGGCCGGGCGCGTTCACACACGGGCTTGCTACTTCCTGTCACTAGGACATTGCACATGGTGAGGGGCTACCGGAAAGCAAACCCTTTTCTGTACAGAGTCTTACTGTAGCTACGCTAATGGTTAACCTGATAGAATTAACGCGTATTTTTCTATGGTTTTAACCGGACGCTCCACTGTCTCCGTCATGGGGTTGTTTTGCGGTGCTGTTTTCGGTTCGGCTTTGTTGAGCTCTCCTTTCTCCAGTGTATGTGTAGACTTTGTGCTTGTTTGGATGAAGAAGCAGATCAGAAGCAACCGCTGCCTCCTCAAGCTTGTCTTCAGACGTCTTGGTGACGCTCCTGAACGCTGACGGGGAAGACAGCCAGTAATACCCATTAAAAGAAGTACATGAGTGAAACCTGTCCCACTGAGCTGTGCTAGGGCTGGGCTGCAGATGTGCACTGTCTATGTACATCCGTCCTTATGGCCATCCTTGTCCTCCTTGGTACAGTCTCAAGCTTTTTCACATGGCATTTGGTGAAAACACAGAAATGAGACAAAGCATCGACTCCAGCCCCAGGCCTGCTGTGTGTGCTCGGGCCACGGGAGTCCTGAGGGTTCTGTGGGCATGTGCACGTCCTTCTTCCATCCCGGGGGTGGCTTCGTGACCTTCCTGCCACGCGCAGGAGGTTGATGACGTGCGACATTAGCCTTGTAAGATACGCCCTGACCCAGTGTGCAGTCGGCGTTCCCGTGTACATTTCATTCTGTTGTATATAAAGGAAGGAATGTGTGCCAGGCCTCTGTGCAGTCGCCCCGCCTCCTCCTGCCAGCGCTAACCCGGTGTTGAGCCTGCATGCGACACTGGCTGATCTGGACTCTAGAAGTGCTAGTTTGAAATATATCCATTGCCGTCATTTCCTTTTGAGCTTGTAGACAAGCTGAATGTCAGGACTGGCTTCTCCAGCTCGCAGCCCTGTGGGGGAGATGCGTCCCTGTTGCGTTTGGCGTTTGGGGTTTTGGTTTTATCCACACAAGCTCTGAACGTCCGTCATAGTTTGGGTCACTGGAAGGTCTCCATCACCAGGTTTTTTAAAGGTGATTCATCACCATTTGTGAAAGGCCCAACGTGCTGACGGGCAGAACAGATCCGAGTGCTATGTGACTGTGCATTTGCAATTTCAATCAGCCTGAACGACTGCAGAGCCAGCTAGGTCTGGAAGGGGAAGCCAGCTCTGGCCACAACATCTGGTCGGAGGGAAGTGGGATGTGGCATGGTAGCGTCTGTTCATCCATGGAATAAAACATTATTTTACCACTCGGATTGCTCCTTTCTTGCTCATCCTCCACCGTCTCACCTTAGAAAGTGTGCAGGGCTTCAGGAGGCTTTCAGAGGACCCGCTTCGGCCCTCCAAGAAGGAGGCCTCAAGAGCCTGGTGTGCGTCAAATGAAGGTTGCATCCGTGGCAGCAGCAGTCTGGGCAGTGGGGAAGGACACAACCATCGAACACATCAAAGGCCCAAATCAATCCAAGAAAAGGGATTTGAATCATGCCCTGGAAGTCTGAGGGTGGAGGCGCAGAGCTAGTCCCTAACACCGAGAGTGAAATCGATTCTCAGTGGAAGCCATAGCATTGACCACTAGAAAACTTTAAATTTTTATTTTTATTTTGTATTGTTTTTGGTAGAGACAGGGTTTTGCCATGTTGCCCAGGCTGGTCTTGAACTCCTGGCCTCAAGTGATCCTCCTGCTTCAGCCTCCCAAAGAGCTGGGATAATAGGCTTGAGCCACCATGCCTGGCCTAGGAAACTTTAGGAAAATGTCTCCATCTGTTGGAAATTCATCCACTCATTTGCTGTTAATTCAATGTCTGATGTAAACATGGCCCAGCCTGAAAGCCAAGGGATTGATTAAATAAATAAATAAATAAATACCTCCCAATCATGGAGCAGCTGCTGCCTCAGAGACAGGGGATCAGTCCTGTCAGCCCCGTTGAATTAGCTGATTCTTGTCACCATGTGGGTCAAGAATCACAGAAAGCATGGAGCAGGTGGGTGGGGGAGGAGTGAAAAAGGAAAAAAGAAAAGTTAATAATCAAATGAGAAAAGAGATTTTTAAAAACCCAACACAGCAGACGCAGCAGAGGTCATCTAAGTCTAACATTTCCCCTACACAGGGTCTCTGTGAGCCACCCTGGCCCTCTCCCTGGCCCCACCCTGGAAGGTGGCCAGTCTCCCCATCCCAGCTTTCCAGACAGGAGTTGACTGTTTGCTCAAAAGGCGTATTTTCCCACATCGGAAAACACTGAGCTAGGCCTGGCCCTGAGAACAGTGTTGGCCGCAGCCAGCAAGGCCACTCCGGTTCCCACTTGGAGAGCCCTCTGCCTCTCGCCAGCTCCAGGATGGCTTTGGGGAGATGCCCACATGGCCTCACCAGGCTACCCTGCGGCTGTGGCTGCCATGCCCGTCTGGCTGGAGCCCCCCACTGCAGCCTCCTCTGTGTGTTCAAATGGCACCTGTGTGGTACAGCAGAGTGCTATTTTTATTTCAGTTTTAAATTAGTCGGGGTTCCTCCAGGTTCCTCAGCACCCAGTTCCAGGACTACAGTCCCGACTTCTGGGCTGCCTGGGGCATCGCTGAGGCCACAGGCCAGCAGGTTCCCCAAGATGTGCACCTGGGGGGACCTTCATCCCCACTGGCCTGAAAACATGATCACTCCCCTCCTGCCTGACCCAACCGTCCCAGACACAGTGATTTCTTAAGGGATTGATTGCTGTCCGGAAGCCCCTATTAAAATCCCACCTCTCACAGAAGAGCCCAGAAGGACATTTTTAGAAGCTCCCTTGGCTTTCCTTCTAGCATACAGCTGCACATTAGGAACAGATGGGTGCCCGATGAGAGACTGCATGCACCCATGGACAAGGGCTGGCCATAAATCAGGGCAGGGCCCTAACCCACACCTGCAGATGCTGCAGCGGTTGGTCCCAGAGGTCAGGACTTGAGTGGTAACTACCAGCTTCCCTCGTTCTCAGCCCTGCTCCTAACTCAGGACCAACTGGGAAAAGCCAAATACCCACATCCAATCTCCTGGGACGCCCAGCTTCTGAGCACCTCCAGCCTCCCACGCTGGCAGCTCCAGCCAGAGCATCCCTGCAGCCTCCTTTTCTCCACGGTGAAGCTTGCCCACACCCTGTCCAAACGCAGGTAAGAGCAGTGTCCCCCTTGCTGGAGCAAGCTCTGGATAAGCAGCCTCTGCTCACACTCATTTCAGTGCCAGCTTAGCTCAGCTGCCACAGTGAAGTCCCACAGACCAAAGGCTGCCACAGTGGAGTCCCACAGACCGGAGGCTGCTGCAGTGGAGTCCCGTGGACTGGAGGCTGCCACAGTGGAGTCCCGTAGACTGGAGTCTTAACTAGCAGGACTTCACCTCTCACAGTTCTGGAGCCGAGAAGTCTGAGATCATGGGACCAGCACACTTGGCTCCTGGTGAGGGTTCTCTCCCTGGTTTACAGTCAGCTGCCTTCTCCTGTCTGCACGTGGCAGAGCGAGAAGGGCAAGAGAGAGTAAGAGTGTGAGAAGAGACTTCTCTGATGTTTCCTCTTACAAGGGCATGAATCCCACACTTAGGACCTCTTCCAACACTAATCACCTCCCAGAGGCTTTGTCTCTGGCCATCACACGGGGGTCACGGTGTCAGCAGTGAATTTGGGGAAACATAGCATTCAGTCTGTCCCATGTGGTCTTTGTTTATTTTCACCCTCTCATTCCAGGGAGAAAATACATGTTCTTTTATTCCAAAGAAGAGTTGCTGAGGGGCCTGTGGACTCTGAGGCTGGGGAAAGAGGGAGCAGAGGAGGTGGACCCAGCCTCTGGAGACTGGCTTCCCTGCTGGGCCTCCGCAGGGGTCGAGATGGGCAGACGGGCAGCCTTCCAGGGCTGCTCCTGTCCCCTCTGCAAACCACACACTCCGAAATGTTCGTTCTCCATCCGAACTCAGCCACTGACACTACACAGTTAGGAAATCTGAAGCCCAGAGAAGGCAAGAAAGTCTCGCAAAGCCACACAGGCCGCGGCCACAGCCCCGCCTTCCTCCCGCCCTCTCTCCCTGCTGTGTTTTCTTTCCTGATCAACTCACAAGGCCTGGCCTCAGGGCCCCAGCAGTAGCCAGCCACCCTTCTCTGCAGAACTGGGCTAGGGGGTCTGGCCCGGTCCCTTGGGGTGCTCATCCTCACATGTGGGTGTCCCAAGCAGTCTCCAGGCAGCACGGAGCTGGGTTCGGCTGGTTTCTCAGAGCCGTGGGCTCCAGGATCCAGGCTCTGAGAAAACCACAGCGCTATGGCCCTTCCGATTCCTGTCCAGCTCAGGGATCCCTTCTAGAAATCCTCTTACCGATTGGCTTGCCTGCATCCAATGCATGGCCGCAAGGTAGCTCTGTGTTGATTCCCAGGCTGGGATCAGAAGTGACCAGAAGTTCAAGGAGGTAGGTAAACACACAGAAGAGCCGGGTCAGCCGCGCCCCTCCTTCGCCTCCCCGCAGGAGAAAGTGCGGGCCGCACATAGCATGTGCCAGGCCCACCGTGGGTGTGCCTAGCAACGAACGCACCGCCGCCCTGCCTGCCCGAGTAAAGGAAACCCCAAAAAGCCACAATTTGTGTCTGCTTTGTTCACTGCAGAAGCCTGAACACATAGAACCACGTTTGCGATCAGAGGGCAGAACCCAGCCAGGTCACAACATCACAGTCTGGGGGTCCGCAGGAAACGGGCGGATGCTGACGGTGACCTAGCCGCCATGCCCGCGGTTCCCTCAGTGGGAATGTGCCCTGTGCCTCCACTGGGCTGGCTCAGTAGCTCACGGAAGCCTCAACACTGTATGCAGAGCCGGGTGGACAATGAAGTGTTTGGGAAATAGGAGAAGGCTTTTCAAAATGATATGAATGTATTTACATCCATTCAAATGTTTCATTTCACAGACAAACATTCATTCATCTTCAGCGCCTTCTTGAGCTCTGTGAGTAGAGTTCTGCTCATATCCATGTGTGAACCACAAGCTCAGGTGTCACAGCACAAAAAACTCAACTCCGTAAACGGAACAGGGACGGAAAGCCTGTGGTGAAGCGATCTGAAGGCAGGTCCTTGCCGAGTTTTACATGCGGTCCCCGGTCATTTATAGTTGTCTTGCCCACAGCTTATTTCAACTCCTTTATTTTAGCAGTTTGTCCTTACTGAATTTTTCCAAATCAATTTCATTTTTCTAGGAATGACACCATTTTGTTTTTATGCTCACTGTCCAGAGTTTAAGTGAATTGAATCCAATTCGGCTCAGTGGCTACTACTGTGCTCCACCCAGGACCCTCTCAGAGCCCAGGCCCTACTGTGGCCCCGCTCCTGAGCATGTGGGCTGAACTTCTCACAGCCGGGTGCTTGGCTGGCCTACCCCGCCCACAGGGGACCTGCCTGGTTGAAGGTCACAGCCCCTCCCAGGAGTGCCACATGGCAGGACTGTGTGACTGTCCTTGGCTATGTGGCACCTTGGTTGGTACCAATACCCAGTCACTCTGTCTCAATTTAGGACAATCTCAAAGGTCATCCCAGCCACAGAGGCTGTGGCTCAAGGGTGACGTCCTGGGGGATGGGCTGAGGCTGAGGCTCAAGGGTGACGTCCTGGGGGACGAGCTGAGGCTGAGGCTCAAGGGCAACGTCCCCCTCAGCCCCCATGCGCGTCTCCCTAGGGCAGTTCCAGTGAACCTGCCCGCGGCAGCGCTCCCTGGGAGAGTCCGTTTCTAGGGATCCCAATTTAACCTACAACTGGAGTGGGAAGTACGACTACAAAGGAAATGAGACAAAACAGCTGTGGGCCCAGTCGACTTTCGGCGAGCCCAGCACCACTCACCTGGTGGGGATGCCGGCTTCCACCCGGAGAGGACCGGGCCGGCCAACCACCCCGAGTGCCGTGTGCTGCACAGAGAGACGGGGCCACGCAGACGGCCCGCACCCTGGTTCCACGATGTCAGTCAGGGAACTGCCACCACCCAAACCAGACACAGCCGGCCTGGAACCCCTCCCTTGACTTGCAGGGGATTCGCTTGGGGGCAGCTCAGCTCCTGCCACACCTCTGCCATGGAGCCCAGGTACCGCTTGCAGGCCTGGTGGCGCCTTCGCTCCAAAGCCCAGTGACTGATGCAGAAGCCTGGAGGACCCACTGGCAGCATCCTCGGCACGGAGAAGCCGCCCCTCCCTCCCAGCCTGGGCCCCAGCAGAGGAAGTTCCTAAGTTGGAGGAGAGTCTGGGGCTCTCTGGATTTGACTTTAGTTATCATAAC